AAATAGACGATTAGCGATACGGCCGGCTAGGTAAATCGTTTAAATAACGTATATTTATTATTAATAATAATAATTAAGAGGTATTATTAAGCCTCTAATTAGCTAGAGTTATTATACCGTCTAGTTTATCGCTAGAGTATCGACAAGGTATCGCAAGAGTAATCATAATTATCCGCATACCCGAAGGTTTGGGAAAAGCGGCTGGAAATTGCGCTAAAAAGTAGCTTCCGTTCCCACATTAGCGGGACGCCGTGGCGTGCACCGTCCTTGTTTGACAATCAAGACAAACCGAGAACGGGGGCTGCGGCTTTGCAGCAGACCAAATTGTGGCGTCGAGTCCTTTCGCTGGTCGACTACTGCTAGTATGAAGATCGAAGGGTCTTGGAAAATGGGGCAAGTAGGAACGAAGAAAGCACCAACAAGCGACTGGTGGATTCAACGTCTGGGCGCGAATGCGAGCGTAAGAAAAGCGCAACACTGGGTAAAAACAAGCGATTACGATCGGAATTGCAGACTGCAGTAGCTACGGCAGAGAATGTGCGATGTATTTTATTAGACTGCAGTGCAGGGAACGCAATAATGTTGAGCGGCTGGTTCCATAGATCGACGCAGAAGGCAGGTTTTCCTCTGTTCCCTGTTCTGTGCTGTGCCTCCTTTAAAGTGTGCACTAGCATCGGCTCGAGAGGTTGATGATGATTTGATCGTTCGGCACAAGCACAGCCTCAGCCCTACACATTGGTGAGGCACGCTTCTGCATGCTAGCGAGGAGCGAAGTACGCTGCCCTTTTTTTTTTGTTTGGAACGCGAAATAATGGCGAGCCGTCTACGCAGTCATCATGCAATGTCATGGCGGATGCCAAGGCCCGTGCTTCGTCTGGTGACGATTTTTGCATTTGGAATACAACCCTTGGACGTTGGAGCGTTTGTGCAACTGCCGACAGGTGCTGCCGCTGGAGAAGGGCAATACCTACTTGGGACTGGTGGTAGGACTTGTGTTACACACCTTCATACTGCTTTTTAATTATCTGCCTCATCAGGACTTCAAGCTTCTACTCGCTCCTTCTACCTCTACCTCGTCTAGGGTATTTCGAGCATCATATCTATCGGAGCGGGACAGAGAATGAAAACAAGGCCGAGGAGAGATTTATTCGTCTGATACGTCCGACGACTCCTCCCAATCCACCTGGCGATCTTTCACTGCTTGGTTGATTTGACTCAACGTTGCTGTCCAGGCTTGTGCGAGGGAGATGTGACATTGCTCGGAAAGTTCCTCGATGGCCTTTTTTTGTTGGAGAAGTTCTTGCAAGCGCTTGATCTTGGGACGTTGCATGGCACGGCTGGGGAGATGTCAGTCCTGATGGCATATGCTGCGGTTGGGAGTCGTGATCTCTTGATCACGTACAGTCTCTCATTGCCTCTTGCCCGAGCGGCGTTTAGCTTGGTGTTTGCTTGCTCGAGACGACTGGCGCGGATACGTTCGATTTCCTTCTCGCGCTTTTCCCTGTGGGTTTTGGCCTGGGGGCAGGTGAGTGAAGTTCGTGATGCAATATGCAGTGAAAGTGAAGAAATGAAATGGAATATCAATGCAGCGTGTGGCGCGCATTCCTACCTGCTGCTTCGACTTCTTGATGGCAAGAGTCAAGGTGGTGGTGTCGATCTGCTGCGACTGCGACTGCGACGGCTCAGAGGCTGCATCGGAGCTGTCTTGACGTTGTATGACCGCCGCTGCTTGCTTCGACTTTGATTTCGCCATTTGTGAAAGATGGCGGAAGTGCGTGTAGCAGCGGCGTGAAACTGAACTGGGGTGGGGGAGGGCGGTGCGAAGCGCGACGCGACTGATGCACGAGATCACGTGTGCGACACCCCAGAATCGCATGCTCGCTCGCCCATGGAAGCCACCAAACGTGTCGCAATGCACGATGGGATGGTAGACGAGAGCTCGACGATGTGAGCAACCTGCACTCAGGTACATTCGTAGGGTCGCCCAGAGGACGCAAATGAGCGGCGTGACCTACTCTATAGCGGGAAAACAGATACTTGGATCAACACTGCTTCCCCACTGGCCAGTACCACCGAAACTAGAACTCGTATTTGCAGCAACGCCTCGTACTGGGTGTCTGCCCTAGGGACTCGTGTCTTGCTCCGTCCCTCGCCTCTCTGCGTTGCTCAGCGTATCTGGGGCATTGCATAACATTGATTGAGATAAGACAGGCAGAGAAAGGCTGCGACAAGAGGTGCGGAGTGGATGTATTTTGAGAATCCATTTCGCTGGCCGTATCGGCTGCCTGCCGAGTGGCTTTCGATCCTGGTATTTCTGCCTTAAGCGCTCACTGTCTCGAGAAGTGAGGCAGTCGTGGAGTTAAGGTCGCATTGAGACGATACTTCACTCCTCGTATCTCTGCCTTGAGCAGCGCATCTGAGCCATTGCGTGTCGACACGCGAGCCAGTCGTGGAATCAAGGTCTCGGCGAGAAGTCACGAATGATGGATGCCTCCGACTTTCCGTTTGGCTGTCGGCAGGGACCGTGGCCTGACGCGGCGCCTGGCTGAGCTGAGTGAGCAGGGAAGTACGACAGAGCTCATGACCCTGCATCATTTCACCGAGCCATTCGACTTCCCCTTCATGTCTGCCTCAACAACACACTCCGACCGCTCGCCCGCTGTCCGTGCCTGACATCGCCAACGACCACTGCACGACCGGGCCCGTTGCTCATCATGTCCTCGTTTGCGACCTCGTTTTGGTCCGCCGACTACGCTGGAGGTCGGATTTGAGCGCACGCTCTCTGCTACAAATCGCTAATCTGAGCACAGGATTGGGCGTATTGTTCGCGAAACTTCAGCAGGGTGTGCAGGAGAATGAGCAGCTTCTTACCGTAGCGCGAATGCGCGCTGAAGCTGAGGATATATACGGACAACGGCTGGCGGACATCGAGAGCGCAACAAGCCGTATC